CCTTCTGTTTTAAAATCTTTATCAAATCTAGATTGTATTTGCAAATATGAAAACCAATTCATTTTTACACCTTGTTCAAAAACACTTCTTAGTTATCATAATGTCTGAACTTTCAGTACACATGGTCTTATTATCTTCTCTTCAAGTATCTCTAGGATAGCAGTCAAGCAATCCAATTATACATTCTTAATCCCAAATGAGTTTATTCTCAAAAATTTGTATATGCAGCTTTTTGGAGTTGATTCTGAAAGGATTTGGTTGGGATGATACTTTATTTGAGTTAACCCACATAATCTTGTTATGATTAAAATTTCTTCATATTAATACAAATATAATTTATTCCAACCAAATGCAATACCAAGGTGGAGGTTATATATGTTCCCCTGGCCATTATTTCTGTGTTGTATTTAAGATAAATAACTAAATATGCACCTGGATCATGATTCATCATGTTGTTTGCATGTTCATTGGAATTAGGGACAACCATAGACCTCCAATTTAACCCAATAATAATGCACCAATATTACACCAGATAAAGTTCGGAAGCAAGTATGTGCAAGCATAGCTGTCTCTTTACATCTTTCCAACAGGGGTCACAGGTCAGCTTTTACATTTGTTTTATGGAACCAATCCAGAAAGCATTTGTAATTGATTCTCTTCTGTTGCTGATAGGAGAGGGGGAGGAAGGGACAGAGGGAGAGCTGTCACTGTCAGAAATACCTCCTGGAAATAAGGAGAACCTTTCTGACAGTGAGAACAATCAATCAATGGAGCACCTTGCACTTGGAAGTTGTGGGAGCGCCATCACTTGAGACTTTCAAGAAGAGATTGGACTGCCATTTGTCAGAAATGGTGTGGGGTCGCGGGGGGGGGGGGGGGGGGGGGTTGGACTAGACTGACCTACAAGGTGCCTTCCAACTCTGATTATCCGTTATCTGTTATCTATTACTTTCAAGCCAAAGTATAATAGATCTAGAAGAAGAAATGGTTTGGTTTCTCTGCCGGAGGGTGAACTTGCTTTGGTTCACAGTTTAGTTTCAGAGTTATCTAAACAAATTACCAGTAGGGAAAATTTGTATATTTTATTATCAGTTTGTTTAAATATAGATTGTTCTGGTGTAAAATAATTGTGGATACAAATTATGGGTTAATAGCTTCCTGCACAAATTACGTACCTATGAAACTGCAAATTATTCAGTTAATTTGTTTTATGTATTCATATTATATTAAAAGTATGAACTCAAGGAAACAAGTTGATTACTTCTGCAGATCTGGTGTCATGCCCCTGGTGGAGACTGACTCTGAGGGAGAGGAGGAACAGCCGACAGGGAGTGGAAGTATGGCTCCGGAGGTTGTGGAGGAGGCTGGGGAAGGGCAGAGGCCGGCTGAGCAGTCAGAGGAGGACTCAGGCCCATCCCCTATCCATCCTAGGGCATGCAGGGAGGAGAGGATAAGAGAGAGACATGGTCTCCTTGGGAGGAGAGGGCCTTGATCCTCTTCATGGGCTGCAGGTGTGAAAACTGAATAAGAGTTTGGACCTGCGTACTGGCAAATGCTGGAAACAAATCATGTAAATATCTGAGTTGAAACTAATTCCTCTCTGAGTTTGGCGTCTTTCCCAGTGTGTGTTATCTGTGGACATCCTCCAGCCCTTATCTTGCCTGGTTTATGTTGCTTTTTTCCTTCTTCGTGTAACTGTGTGGGAGTTTTTGTCTTCCGTCAAAGATATTCCGAGCTTGGAACCAAACTTCACCTGTTTTCTGTGACTGTGTTTGTTTTGTATCCCACCCTGGGTCATCACACCTGGGAATATTTAGAATAAAGGTTCTTCTCTTTCAAGAATTCCACAAACATCCTCCTTATAAAATTGTATAAATCTCCTGCATTTAATTAATCAGGCTAGTTCATAAGAAGGAACATTTCTTGAGCTATTTTGGCCATAAGCCACTCAGTTCTTTAAAAATTCACACTACAGTCTTAAATTGGGCCTGGGGAAAAAAGGGAGCGAGAAAGCCAATGCAATTGGCAGAGCACTGACTTAATATCATAATATGGGTTAGACCAGCTCCAGTTAATAATATTACAATTCTATTTTAGACTATCTGAAGTTTCAAAAACTTCCAAAATAGCCCCACATATAACTCATGGCAGAAATCCAGCCAAGAGGTCAGTAGAGCACAGAGAACTGATGTCAGGCTATCCCTGCCCCGAAAGTTTTGCAACTAGCTTCAGTATCCAACTTTTAGGAGGTTGGTCCTATCTGCTTTTTCAAAGTGGGGTTTGATACAGCACACAGAGATTTACCCTTTCCAGTTAGAAGGGAAAAAAAACTTATTCTTGACCCGATCGTCTCAATTTTATTAATTGTTGAGCCATTACTATCAAGCTTCGCAAGATCTCTGAGATAGTTGGGAACAGCTCAACACAGCTGACTGTGTTTTATGTAATATTTTGCTCAAGCAATATTTTTTTCCAGAATTTTAAAACTATAATGTGCTGATTCAAAAATAGACATCAGCTCCAGTTACAGTCGCAATTTTAAAAAAGTTTCAATTAGTGTTCTAGTCATATATTTTTATTTGTGGCAGATTGGATTCATAGATTGTCATGAATTTTTTTGATGCTGTATCAATTCAACAGGTGTTAGAATGAAGATTCTGCAACCCACTGTTGCAGAGCATTCTATCATGTGCCTACAACAAGGTCCCAAATATAGTTCCTCATAGCATATCATAAAGGAAAGTTTTTATTTATTTATTTTTGTCAATTGCTTACAAGATAATAGGTATAAGTAAAAACATAGTTATGAATACATGTAAGAAAAATAAAAAATATAAGAAACAATAGGACAGGGACGGTAGGCACATTGGTGCGCTTATGCACGCCCCCTACAGACCTCTTAGGAAAGGGGTGAGGTCAATAGTAGACAGTCTAAGGTTAAAGTTTTTAGGGTTTGGAGAAGAAATCACAGAGAGTATTCCAGACATTGACCACTCTGTTGCTGAAGTCGTATTTCCTGCAATAAAGTTTGGTGCGATTAACCTTCAGTTTGTATCTATTGTTTGCTCTAGTGTTGCTATGGTTGAAGCTGAAGTATTCATTGACAGGTAGGACATTGCAATGTATGATTTTATATACTATAGTTAGACCGGACCGAAGGCGGCATAGTTCTAGGTTTTCTAGGTTTAGAATTTCGAGTCTGGTGGCATAAGGTATTCTGCAACGAGTAGAGGAGTGGAGAACTCTTCTTGTGAAATATTTCTGAACTTTCTCAACTGTGTTAATATCAGATCCGTAATGTGGGTTCCAGACTGATGAGCTGTATTTGAGTATTGGTCTAGCAAATGTTTTGTATGCTCTAGTTAGTAGAGTGATATTACCGGAGAAAAAGTTACGCAGGATTAGGTTTACAACTCTTAATGCCTTTTTGGCTATGTAGTTACAGTGGGCTCTAGCACTTAGATCATTAGAGATGAGTACTCCAAGATCCTTGACAGAGTTTGGTTCATCAACAAGGTCTTGACTATTCAGCCTTGTATTTTATTTTCTGATTATTATTTTTTGCCAATATGTAGGACAGAGCATTTATTTGTTGAGATTTGAAGTTGCCATTTGTTTGGCCATTCTGATACAGAGTCAATGTGCTGCCAGTAGTTGCATGATAGTTTGCCTGGCAGTGATCCAAACATTGTACTTCATGGGGAAAAATAATTTGAGAAGCAAGTTATGCATGTCTAATCTTCTCTGGATCTTTTAAAATACCATCTTCATTAGACCATTAGATCATTCTTAATGTAAGATTCAGGATTATAGATTACTTGAGGTGTGAAGAGCTTTGAATCACCCTGTTACCCTCATATAGTCAGAGGTGGTATTTAGCAGGTTCTGTAGAACCCATAGTGGGAATTTTGAGTAGTTCGGAGAACTTGCAAATACCACCTCCGACTGGCCCCACCCCCATCTATTCTCTACCTCCCGAGTCCCAGCTGATCAGCTGGGTCTTCTTTTGTTGCTGTGCACTGGAGAACGGAGCTGAAAGCAAGTTAGTGGGGTGGGGAGGGAATGGGATTTTACAGTATCCTACCCCTGGAGTGGAGTGGAATGGAGATTTTACAATATCCTTCCCATGCCATGCCCACCAAGCATGCCCATGCCCGCCAAGCCACACCCACCAAGCCAAGCCCACCAAGCCAGGCCCACAGAACTGTTAATTAAAAAAAAAATGGAATCCCACCACTGCATATAGTGACTAAAGGAGTGATGGCAATCTCAAAAAAAATTCACAATAGAGGTATTGTTTTAGTGTAACATACTGACAATTGAGAAAAATGAGCTGTATTATAATGCATCCCTATTACACTTTTGTAGGTTAAACCATATCATAAATAAGTACATATCATATTTTTATGATTTCCCATTCATTATGTTTGTTCTGCTTTACATCTTACATTGTTAACACTTGTAACAGAAGGGGCTCAGGTGTATACACTGGCAGATTGTCATTGTTTCAAATTTCATAATTCTTTACAATTGACAGAATTGACTCAATTCGTGTTCTGACTATAACATTATTGATACGGTATGGCTGTGTAGGTAAGTAAGCATGCAGCATATTCCGTGTGGGTCTCTGTTTTGTTCTGCTTATATGCTACTATTATTTGTTTGTGTGTTGAGGACAATGAATTTGTAATGGCTGTTTGTGAAACAATTAATTAGACATTCAATTCATTCAGCTGCTACTGCAGTCTAAAGAGTCTGGCAGCATCTATATTGTGACACAGAATCTTTTCTACCGTGCTGATTAGCTGAGCCAATGCCAAGAAGGAACCTGGGCAAAGCATACAAGTGTTCAGAGTAGAGCCGGGGAGCATAAGGGAGAGAAGATAGGGGAGGTCCTTTCAGAAAACAAAAGATAGGGGGAGAGGCAGACCTGGACATGTTCCAGCTGGAAAAGAGATGTCATGAAAAGCTCTAAGCTAAGCTGTTTCTCTTTTCTTTAGACCCTGACGGTTCATTTCATGGGGTGGAGTTTCTCCCAGAAAATTTCAGAGATGCTTCTAATGAAACAACAATGAGGATGAATGAGAAATACTCCACATTACCTGCTGAGGAGAAGGGAATCCATATCATCAACATCAGAGCTATTGAAGACATCGGCTATGTTCGCACGGAAAGTACGGTGAGTAGAAGAGCCGCTTGCTCAGCTGGTCTGTGTGTTCTGGAGCTACTTAGGTAATGCAGCTTAATTTCCCTAGTGCCGTGCAATTTCGTGGCTGATGTTGTACAGCTCACAGTATTCTCTTCCTTCCAAAGGCAGGGCTTTGGTGTTAGTGGCATAGCTTTTTGGTCATTTATAAAAAATAAGAATGAAAAGTTTCTCTTTGGAACAGCATCATTCTGAAGAACCGTGTGGGGAAAAAGACAGGCATCTCTGTGTGTGTGTGTTTACAATTGTTCTGTGTATACACACATATAAACACATACATATGCATAAACATAAAATATGTAGGTAAGTATTTTGCATCTAAATTGCATTACAGAAATAATATAGTTTCTGATTTTTTCCCTGATCTCAGTTGTATCTTTTAAGTACCCACTTTGTATAACTTTTCAAAGTAAGGCTAATCTTATTGATTTTTTAATATTTACATTAATGCAATCCTCAAAAATATGTGACTATTTATCAAAATTAAATTGTTAGTCGTATTTAACCTACACACATGCAAAGGGAAGTCTAATTTGAATTTTTAAATTAAGCTATGTTGCTTTAAAGATTGAGAATATCAAAGGCAATAATTTTTATTGGCACATATATTTTGTGATAGTAATGGTGGTAAGTTATGAACCTGTGAACTTCTGCTTATTTTGCAACTTATGATTAGAAACAAAGTGACAATCTTAATGTAATCATGAGCCAATTCTGTATATATAATCAATTTTCAAAGTTCCTTGTTTAAAAATCAAATTTTAACATATCAAATAGAATGGCAAAGCTTTCAAGAAATAGCAATTAAAGTATTGGAGCAATAAAAAAGCTGGAGAAAGGAGTGCCATGTAGTCCTAGAAAAAAAAACGGAGACATAAATCAAACAAATACAAATAAAAGAATGAAGTTAATAGGCTTAGAAATCCATATATGCAGGGAAGACAAAGTTATAACAGTACAAATGGCATGGTTAAAAAACCTTGCTATTAAATAGGATAAGGTCTTGTGATTGGGTAAACTAATATAATTAAGAATAAAAAAGATAATAGGTTAAGCAAATTTGAACACAATGTTTTATTTCTTGATAGAACATCTAAATATCCCATTAAGAGAAGAACTTAGAAGAACTATGACTTGCAAAGTCATAGAACTTGAATTGCCTTTCAGAATGGTAGAGAGAAAATATTTGTACCCTTTCCATTAATAATTACTTATCAGTTGGTGAATTTACATGGCATTTGGCAAGAATAACTGAATGCACATGCATTCAGGCTTTATATGTTCTTTTTAAGGACAAAGGTTTTGTTTCAAAACTAACTTTGGGGTTTCCAATAAAATTTTGAAATCAGTGTAACAACAACATAATGTAATAATCTGGAAAAAATATTTTTAGAGGCACATGTTGCAATTAGGTTGTATAATTGCACCCTTCCATGTCTCTCTCTCATGATGCAAACATTAAAGGGGAAAAAATATATTCCTGTATCTACAAGATTTGGTCAGAATGGGTGGTATATGTAAGCATTGGAAATTGTGAATGCCATGGTAATTTATAATTAACAGTGTGGGGAACAGCTCTTTGAAAGGATTACACGAATGATTCATTGAGCCAAATATGGAAGTAACATTTTTCTATTGATTCAAAGTATTTGGAAGTCCAAATTGTACTGTGGTACGCTAGTTAGGGACATAAAAAAGTTATTAAAAACTAATCAGTATACTCCAATTGTGGCTGGAGTACAATGTTTGTTAGATTTGATATTGTTATACCCCTAGACAATTCTTACAAGCAATAGGGAATTGGATGAAACAATGTAGCTGAAAAAGAACCAACTTGCATTCAATAAAATCTTGTGCCCTTATTTAATTTTTTATAAATTGCAAAACTATGAACTGAACACAAGTTTGATTTAATACTTTGAAAGAGTATTAGATGACTTGAAACAACCATGATTTTCCAGTGGAGAAATCTGCCTGGGTTTCTTACTGCCATAAATAAATAAGAAAACATGACATGAAAGCAATACAAAAACATGTAACAAAAAGCTAATTAAACATTGTCAGTGATAATGAATGGAAAAGTAAATTGTGTTTATGTGGTGTGTGTGTGTGTGTGTGTGTGTATGGAGAGAGAGAGAAGGAGGGAGAGAGGGAGAGGCAGGCACACACCCTGAATAAAAAGATTAAAAATCTTTAAAACTGTTCTATATGATCCCTACAGTACAAAAACAGAAGAAATAAATAGCAAAGAAACAAAGTTGAAATCTATAATAGATCACCAAAAAAATTTAATTGTCTATATGCAGTCTTCCATCGTGAATCAGCATAATCTTAAAAACCCAACTAATTCTATTACTCCAGATTTTAAAGGCATTTTAGTCACTTTAGCTAAAATTTATATACTAAAACTTACTATAGTTCTTAAACAAAAACACTTCACAGACTCAAAAGGCCAGGGTATCTTTGTCAAAAAGTATAAAAAAAAAGATGGATTAAACTTTTTTCCCTTAAAAAGGAAGCATCTGTTTTTTATGCCTCAGTCCAATTTATAGAAAGTGGTCTCTGGAGAAAGACCACACATGCAAACTTGGAAGCATTGATGGTTTTCTTTTTTCTTACAGTCTAATAAAGTAATGATTTGAAATACTTTGTTTAATTAAGGATAAGTAGGTTTATAAGTGGCATTCCCAATCTGAAACATCAGCATGAGTTTTCACTGCCCAAAGTAACTCAATCTTTTTTAGTCATATGGTGATTCTAAGGTATCAAATTTTCCTAATGTAGTGAGTTGCGAAAGTCTTTACAGGTGCATCTATTTATGTAGAACTTGATACTTCAGCATTTTGAAAGCTATCTTCTGTTTAGAAGTTCTATCATGTGACCTACATTTTAGTTTGAGAGTTTGAGGGGATAAAATAACAATCCTAAGTGTCATAATTGTTTTAGGGATTGTAAATCAGATGCACATCGTGCTGTACATCTCTGAGTAAACTTAGTTTATCCACATTAAATGTGCCCATACATTACACTAAGCCATGGCTTCCTTAATCATGATCTACAAAAAAGCAACAAATACTTTTAATGGAAGATAAATTGGGATTTCATAACCCTTACATTTTTCTACTCAGAAACCTATTTTTAAAGAGCACGTATCTTTTGAAAAATGCAAACTTTAATTGCAATACTACTTCTAGTTATCACGAAACTGCAGGGGGTAGGATGACAGTTGTATTTCCATTTTAATTTTCCATGAGAAAGAATCACGAATAAAGCAAAAAATTGAACCTTGGTCCCTTACTGGCCGAAGTCCATGGATCTTTTTGGCTGAGCTGTATGACCAGCTGGTTTCTTTCAGTCTCTATTAAAACTGATCTCTTTTCCAGATGATGAAGAAAAGTGACAAGTATTTGGATGCAATATTAATGTATTTGTCAGTAGTAAAAAGACAAATATTCTTTGTAGAGTAAAGCATGTGATCTCAACACATGTTTAAGACACTATTAAACAAAAAACCCAAAGCTCTTAACACGATCTGTATCTCTAGTTGAAAATCAGCTAATGATTTTCAGGATGCAGTATCTTGAGATCTTAACATACAGAGATTTCACAAAGCCAGTTTACTGTGCAAAACAAATGAGTGAAGTCATCTGTTACCTCAGATGGCTTATTATTTGTTTGTTCTTTATTTACCATTTCAGGTCCCTGACCCATCAACAAAGTTAAATGTTAAAGAGCAGTGTTTTGTAAATTTACAGTCTGGCAAGATTGTAATTGGTGATTTTTGCTGTGTCCGAAAATAACTATTTAATCCTTAAGTATTTTCATGTCTAATGCCAACGTTTATTTTAATCTCTTTTATTTCATTTACAGCTATTAAATTCATTCTCACAAGATCCAGATGCCAACTGCAAATATGGACTTTTTTTTAGAGATGGCAAAAGAAAAGTGGATTATATTCTCGTTTACCACTACAAGAAATCTTCATTTAGTAGGACACTCACTCGGCGAATCCATTTCAATGATTTGGGACCTCGGAGCGTTAAGCAAGATAAACCACTTCCTGGAAAAGGAGGGCAGCTTAGCATGGATGAAAGTGCACCTCACATAGATTATCATGAAGATGACAAGAGATTCCGTAGAGAAGAATATGAAAGCAACCTTATGCAGACTGGCCTTGAGTTGGAAAGAGATGAAGATGTAATTACTCTTTTTTCTTTTCTTTTACTGTGCGTACAAAAATTATTAGTATATTGATTGATTGCTGAAAAGTTCATGAGAATCTCAAAGCTTTCATAGGTTCCCGTGCAATTAAGCATATTTTTTTCTAACATACTTGGAAACTAGTCTTTAATATATTTTTTTCATGTGGCCTTCAGCATCCATATTTTATATTTACCAAGATACAGGGCTTATTTTTGGGATATGTCTTATTTACAGGGAAACACAGTATATAATGGATTTCCTCTTAAAACTGATTACACAAAAATGCAAATTGAACACCACTGTATATTATTAGAGCCATTATATTTAACAAACCTGTATAAGGGCATATGGCTTTCATTTCAAATAATCACATCTCAAGTGATCATTTTATAAAATGAGAAACTGATTAGTTACCTTAAGCTTTTTCAAGTCTTCTATCAAAATATAATGGAATAATATATACTGTCCAGCTATTGAATGTTATTAGCATTCAGCCAACAATGGACCAGGTAGGAGCCATTAGGTAACTGTGATTGATCTAGAAAAGGCTAAACAGGGCCAAGCTGGCTGAAGTTTGATGGGAAAATCCCAACAGAAGCAGGAAAAAGTTGTCAAATGGCATTTGACTATTTGTCAAAATATGTACATAGACTTGTCCATGTAGTTACCAGGAATTAGTCTCAATATCTTTTAGGACGCCTAGCATTGCAACATTTAGACATGCAAGTATTTAGAGTTTGAGTAAAGAACAATGAATTCATAAATTTTAAAGGTATCTCCTAACTCATCAAAGAAATTAGTCAAAATGTGGTATGTCCGTTAAAAGAAGAAAAAAGCTAAATAATGGTAATTAAGCTGTTTTTCTCAGAAATGGTAGGAATTTCTGGTGGTACAACTAAATCCATGTGTTATGGGAAAGAGATTAAATTATGAAATGAGGCATAATCTATTTATATCTGGGACAACTAATTTGGGCACTTGGGCAGATGGTGGTTATAATTTTTTTTTACCAAATATATAAATCAAATATAATGCTTCATAATGTTGAGGAGTACTGTACTGCTTTTCATTTGAAACCCATGTTAACTCCAATATATAAGAAGACAGAATCTAATCACTTTGTTCATTTACAATATTTTTATTCTCCCAATTATGATATGCATATCCCCACATTGTACAATATTAACATTTCTTATATAGAATTTAAAATGCAATGTATGATCTAAAGCAATACAAAAAGATATCAAAACATATGCATACAAATGAATGTGGTTAGTTCACCACAATGTCATTGCCAAAATAAATAACAATGTTTTCGGCTTGCTTACAAAAAGAAGTGGAAGGAAGTAGAAACAATACATATGGTCCATATCCAGATGGGACAACAGTAGTGACAGTGCCTTGTGTATCATTCATGGTATGTAATACTATATACCTTTCATAATATATTTAATAAGCTTGGGAAAAGAAACAATACTAAATTTACTGAATGCAGATTCCCCTCATATTCAGGTTCTGCAACAGTTCACAGGGTTGTATTGGGTATAAAATATAAAAGGTTCTAAGTAGGCTATAAAAAGTTATTTTTTTAAATGTTTGTTATATTACATATTCTGAGTTCCAATTTTAAAGAGATAAGAACATAGGAAAGACACTTGTAGATCAAATCATAAGTCCAGGTAGTCTAATGTTTCATGGCCAACTAGATGCATTTGGAAAATTCATAAAGCTGGACTGGAGTATAGAGATCCCCATCATTTGTTAACCACCATTGCATATAGTAAACTGTCTACAATTCATAAGGTTAAAGAGCCTATCAATGTTAGTAGGCTATTCTTTCATCAACCTCTTCTGTCCTCTTTTAAAATGGCAGAAATTGGCTACCATTACAAATACTGGTAACCAATTCCACAGTTTGTGCTGTGGTATTTTCCTTTGTTGGTTCTGAAACTGCTTGTATTGATACCTTAAACTTCTAAAATTGTAATAATGAGGAAAGTTTCTTCTCTGCCTATTATCTATGGACATGAATGAATTTATATATAACTATCATGTTCTTACTTTCTTTTACCTTTTTTCTTTCTTTCTGTTGAATTGTGTCTAATTCACAGAGATTGCCTGGACAAATCCCTGTAGTTTTCTTGGCAAGGTTTTTCAGAAGTGGTTTCCCATTGCCTTCTCCCTAGGGCTGAAGAAAGTGACTGGACCAAGATCACTCAGTTGGCTTTGTGCCTAAGCCTGGACTAGAACTCACGGTCTCTTGGTTTCTAGCCTGGAACCATTATACCAACTGGCTCTTACTCAAAGCTAAGGAGGCTCGGTTAGTGTAGTCTTTCTTCATAGGAGGGCAGTTTAATTACATTCAGAAAAAAGGTATTTCTTCTGTTGGTCTGAATATATATCTCTGCATTAGTTTCCCTGGATAACTTTGAATTTGGGGACAAAGCCACAACTTACAGTGATATCATGATATAATATTTTAAGATAGGTACCCATTTCAATGGAACTACTATTCTATCTGTACAAAAAAATTAGTTCTGAAAGAATAACACAAATAAAGGGCAATATTGAAGGATTCTAATGTTGTATTCAGAAGAATTCACCTTAGCTCATAGTCGTTTCAGCCCATGTATGAATCTGTACAATAGAGAGATAAATAGGTGGGAGAATATGCTTTTCTTCAAGGGGCAGGGTTCCAAAATAAACAAGTAGAGAGGTTCCCACGGAAGTATATTTTGACTTGACAGTATTATTTCCCAAAGGGATGTGTCCCTCTCTGCCAGTGGCCTTTTGCAAGGATAGTCACGCAAGGGTGAAGATGAGTAACTAAAAAACAAGAGTCATATTGACTAAAATAAGACCAAGGCCTAGGGTTTTGTAGAAATATTCCAGTACACTCTAATCCCAGTAGAATGCCTGAAGAAATACACACTTTTACAAGTTGTCTCTGAAAATCTGCCTAATCTTGCCAAATTCGTTTCCTTTCCTTTAGGACTCCAACTAATTTAGATTACTATAAATTCTTTCTTATAATAAACTATTATACTATTCCTATAGGATTTCCCTATTTTATACAAGCCTTGATATCCAATACAACTAGTCCATTCATGTGGCCATATGTATACTGTGATAATGCCCTGTCAAAAGTTTGGGGTGTGTGGGAGAGGGAGGGAGGGAGAGAGAGAGACAGAGAGACATTCCATCATTGATAGAAATGCCTTTACATTAAATAAAAGTTTTTGTCATTTCATGACAAAAGCTGTGTCTTTGAGAGCTGTGTTACTAACAAACGTTCAAACACATATTGATTAAGTCCTATGTTTTTAAGCTTACTCAAACCATATCCCCAAATTATTGATTTTGATCATATGATCTGGCCTTATATGGAAGATATAAAATGAACCTCATTGTTTTGTTCTGTACATCATTGAATTAAATCTTATGGACTGAAAAGTAGTTTTAAACATGAAGAGCTCTAAGAATGATTTAAGTGTTACAGGTAAACAAATTAATTAAACACACTTTCTTTCAAATATAGTTTAAAAAACTGATGCTGTTGTAGATATAAATCTATCCTATGCAGGTTACTTGAGGGATGGTCTCACCCCATTGGGATTGATCTGTCCCACTCGTGCTAGTAGAAGAGGCATGCTATGGATCCTGTCAGCCCAATTATTCTGGCCGGTGGAGTTCAGGAGAGCCTTCTCTGCTGTGGCTGCTGCCCCCTGGAACATCTCCCCCCCATCATGTAAGGTTGGCCCCAACCCTCTTATCCTTTCATAAGGACCTAAAAATGTAGCTCTGCCAATTGGCTTGCGGCCCCAATGGGGGAACAGCACAATAAGGTGGTTGATCGAATAACAACAGATCCCATCTCCTCCCACACTGCCCCCACTCTTCCCACATTTGATTTTAGTTTATTTATATTTTAATGTGTATGTATAGACATATTTTAATGACTGTAAGCCTTCCAGAGTTATGGTAAAATATGCACCTAATAAATGTTATAAATAAATATAAAATATAAATGACCCTAGAAGTATGACAAGAACTCCAAAGGCATTTAGAATCACATCTTAAATTCCACAAATTTAGAAAAAGGTTGTCCTACTGTGAGAATGAAGAAATGTAAGTTATATTTTCCAACCCAAACCAATAAGTGATTGGTTTGGTAACATACTGTATCTGTTCAACAGTGTAAGTTTTCACATATGAAAGATGCTGATTGACATTTTGCTTCCTTTTAAACAACACATTAGCATCGCATTGTGTACAGGAATAGGGCAGACAATTTTAAACAAAAAGATTCATCTGTATTTATAATTGTGTAGTAACATTTTCCTATGTTTAAGGAAAACTGTGTTCAAAAGGACTAAAGACTTCATGTCGTTTTTAAAGATTATAGGAATTCCAAATCTCTGTGAAAAAGAAATATTGATACCACTATTGTAGCTTCTCTTTATTGATGGGAACCTTTTAGCAAATATTCTAAATTAAAAGCTGGGTTCCAAAATGGAATTAGGTTGTGACTAGAAATTGGTAGTACAGTATAGCTGTTAAATAAAACATCTTGATTAATAATTGAGATATAAATGAAATAGTGCCAGGGTAATTAAAATAGAAAAACTAGGCATCTGTATTTCAATGGGAGTGACTCTAATTTACCTGACATCAGAATAATTATCATGCCAGACTTCCGATGTACTAAGGGAAAAGTGAATAGTAAAAATGTTTTCATTTTATATTGGGTGAAAGTTATATGAACCTTTGATTATTCAGTGTGATATATCTGTTTCAGAAAAAAAGCTGTATTTGGAACACAGTATTTTGCTAGCCTAATATGTCTGCTAGCTAAATTAAAACATCAATTAATCGATAATCAGTTATCTATTTTGGTCTAGCTGACTATAAGCAGCAAGACTTTCAAATACATGAGCAAGTTGTTGGTGTAGCTTAGAGATTCCCTCTACATTAGTTCAGATAACTTGCTCTTGAGCAGACAAAATCAAGCCTTCAGTTTCTTTTCTTGACTGTTTCAGTTGTCAGCCGTTGCTAGGGGTTATCTTAATTCACTTTCCCCTTAATCTTTTGTACAAATGGACCATGTAATATTTTTCCATGTCAGTATTCTCCTTGTATTTTCATAATATTTTGGTATTCATGTCTTGTTTCCTGCACATTCAATGAGTTCCAATTTTTATCTTGCATCAATGCTCATTCTTGCCTGTTTTTTATGTAATTAGTGTAGTGCATGCTTTTCTTCTGCAAAAGTTTATTTGACTTGAAGTAAACCTTGCTTCCACTTTTGTAGGCAGCTGTAATGTGTCAATATCACTATGGGGATTTAATGTATAATGAATAGTGATCAGTTTTCTTGTTTTTCAGTTCAAACTATCTAGTTCAACTTGCAACTAGTTAATAATTCTAGCATTGTATCGTATGACAGTTGTGGCCTGGGTATTGGTAACTACATGTTGGTATTGGTAGCTTGTCTTGATGCCAGGTTTTTGTTTTTAATGTTTATGGTTTTAATAGTTTCAACATATGGTTTTTATGTTGTTTTAATTCTTGATTGGGAGCTGCCCAGAGTTTGGTATAAAATGGGCAGCTATATAAATGTTTAAATAAATACATTAATTAAAAGCTTTGAAGGTGTTTCCATCATTTAATTTTGTCTTTAGCAATGTTCTTATTTTTTGGATGTATCTTTTACTAATCACATTTTTAACTCGTGCATGCTTGATGTTATCCAACTGTAAATGGCCCAGATACTTGTAGTCTCCATCCTGATGGCTCCTGATGATTTAGCCATTCATTTAATTTATATTTGTATTTGTGATTTTACCTCTATTTATTGCTACTGCACATTTCTCTAGGCCAAATACCATTGTGCTAAAAAGTCTTATAATGTTCATTAATAACTGTATTTCAGTTTCTGCTTTTCCATAAAGTTTCAGATCATCTATGTAAAACAAATGTGAGATTTTATTAGCATTTTTGACCAATATTTGTTTTTCTCAAAATCAGTGAAAGTGGGATCATAGCAAATAAAAAGGGTGGTAATATGTCACCATAGAAGACATTCTCCTAATGTTGACAAGCCTGTCTTTTTCACTTCCAACCACCAATTCTGGCTTTCACTGTTCCATTACTTTTTCTATAAACATTCTAATTTTTTATTGATATCAATTGTTTCCAAACATATGATGGCCCAACAGTATAACAATTAATCAATGAATCAAAACCTTTTTTATAATCAGTCCAGACCCTATGTAAATCACTCTCACAGCCCAGGAATGTGAAAAACCACTTTTGTAAAAACTTGTTAAGAAAAATGCAGAGATTTATCCAGGCAGTTACTAGGAGTCAAAACTTGACTTAAAGGCAATACTAATAATATTTAATAAATAAATAATTATAAGAATAGTTTAAAAAGAAATAACCTACTTCTTTGAATATAACATTAAGAGATTATTTATAAAGTTGCATTATTTTATAAATGCTTACATAGAAAGAATCTTCAGTGAATTCAGTGTGACGTATGAGCAGTCATCTTTAGTAATGTATTATGACTTTTTTTAGTTTTGGTGTATAATTGGAACTGCACAGTGTTAATTGTGTAGTTAACTACAATTTATATGAGTTAAATAAATAGTTTATTTGAAGGCATTTGATATACCAGTTGTACAACTGAATATATATTTCAATGTAAGTCCTACTGTATTCCATAGGACCTAATCCCAGGAAAAACTTAGAGCATTTAGAGTTCAGTACTATAATCCTTTAGTAACTTCTTGAGTATAAGTCTGAATCTATAAGATTGAATTAAGCCATTGAATTCAGTGAGACTGTCTTCCAAGTAAGCATGAATCAAATTATATGGTAAGACACTAATCAGCAACATGTAACATCAAAAACATAAACAAATGTCTGGTGATGTTCACAGGAAGATAAAATGGCATATGTGGCAAAATAATTTCTTGCAATTGTGTGGTTGGCTGTCACTGAAACCTTATTGCTGACCTTAATATTGGATAAAAGTAAAAGCTTGTTTCAAGGAAAGCATATATTAAATTAATTAAATTCTCCTCCATGAAGTAAGCTAATACCTTACATGTTTTTGAAGCTCTGCCATATTGAGATTGGCAGCTACTTATGTCTCTTGAGTAATGTATTTCTTGTAAGCAGGTGTTCAGAGCAGCAATATGAAAACAAGCTTTTATGCTTGTATAAACCAGCACAGCAATAATGGCAATTAAATCAAAGACAGAAGAGATCTTAGCTCTGGAACTTTTCTTCTTAGAACAGTGGTTCCCAACCTTTTTTTCGCCCTGCACCCCTAAAGAAATTTCACTCGAACCTCGCACCCCCTGAAATAAATAATAAATAAAAATGCCAACATATAGCCAATATCCTTTTATTTACCTGGACTTTTCTCGCACCCCCTGGAATATCGTCTCGCACCCCAGGTTGGGAACCCCTGTCTTAGAAGGGTTAACTTGCACAGACTTTGGAAAATTGTCTTAAAAAAGAAAATCTGGATGGCCCAGGAAATCCATTAGCACTAATACTTTGAATGATAAGAGGGTCTGATGTATCTGAAATAATTAATATTAAAACAATGATCTTGTCAATTAGACAAGGAATTTGAAGATATTAATTAGTTTGAAATTTCACAATTACAATGAGTGGGACCTCTGAAAAGGGTAAATGAGTAATAAATTGTAGCCAAATGTTTCTGGTGAATTGTCATATTGCCATGTTCAACTGATAGATTTAGGTCAATAACTTTTTATAGTAGCAGTATTTCATTTGAAAAGAGTACCATTTAATGTTAGTGTTGATTTCTAGAGCTTTATTTAAGGCATATTATTTAAACTGAGTTGTGTTTACTTCCACCAAAATGTTTTAACTGGTCTATATATCTTCCATCAGCCTTCTTTTATTTGCCCTATAATCATTATGTTCTCCTTTTAAAGAAGAAAAACTTGCAGGGCAATATAAATGAAATTGAACAAATGGCATTGTGTGTTTATTTGGTTTAAATGTTTATTTTTCTGTCTGTTTTTTAAAGACAAAAATTCATGGTCTTGGATTTATAAAAATTCATGCTCCTTGGAATGTTTTATGCCGCGAAGCAGAGTTTATGAAACTGAAGATGCCTACAAAAAAGGTTAGTTTTAATATTCTTTAACATCAGGAGGTCTAAACAATTAAATGACATGACATTAACTTCTTTTCATAGACTCTTCATAAATTAAAATTGTCTGCCTGTAAGAGAAGCAGAATATTTAACTAAAACTCTTGGTACAGTTTGTGACACAATTTATAGAGCAATGTATGAATTGTAATGCTGCAAGATATAAATGTTTATGCATGTTAATTGCACTGCACTGCAGAAATGTGTTCCTTAAAAGATATGTAGACATAGGTGGTGCCATTTTGTAGTTAATCTTATAAATATTTATCACATGTCTTTCTAAAAATCATGCATAAGAGAGGCTGCCTGTTTTGATTCAGTTACAGGTTTTTTTCTATTGCCATCAGCCACCCTACTCAGCCCATCCTAGAATACTAATTTCACTGATATTAACAATGTGCAACTAGAATTTTCTCTGACTATTAACCATATTGGATATGATTTATACTGTAGAATAATAGTCTAAAATATTTGGGAAATACAAGGTAGCCAAGAGTCTTCGACAATTAAATGAGTGTTATCTTTTTTTTTTTCTGATCTTACACCACAGATAAAAGCACTATTGCCTTCAACGTGCATATGTGTTGTCAAAAATGTTAAATTTTATGTCAGATGCTCAGCAAGACAATCTTTAGAATGGCAATTCATTGCTTGAGAAAAATCTCAAGAAAAAGAAATTTCTACATACTAAATGAAGTAGATTTTAAAAAATATGACCAAACTAAAGCAAACAAGGCCATTAGCTATTCTACAGACATAAATCTGTGTATGGCTTAACTTTGCTAAATTTCTTCTTTCCTAGACATAGTTTATGAGACTACAATTCTAAGGATCCTGTGAGAGGATAGGATGGATCATCATAGTAATAATAAATTTACTGAATTCATGACTAACGTATCATTATTTAAATCCCATTGATTTCAGTGAGTTTACTTAACTCTCTAGTTCAAACCTAATAGGTTTGGGGTTTAGTGTAATGAGTGAAACTGTCTATTACAGCTTTGTGTTACTTTAAATTTGGAAATATAATTAAAATAAATAACATGATAAATAGAACTTGATCATATACAGTTAGTTACAAAATTCAAGCCTAATGTTTAATTTTAGTTTTGCTTAAAATAAATTACTTTGTTCTCTAACGCTGTTTCTTCCTCCATTGGAGACATTTTCCTGTGAGTCTGGGTTACATCTGAGTCTGAGCAGTAGGCACAACAAACTGTTGTTTAAAACATTCTGGTCTGTGTCTCTACTGTGGAAATTTTAATGTAGGTCTATATAAACGAGATTATTTCTGTGTTTTCAGTCAAATACTTCTCTTGTTACAGAAAGTTTGAGAAGTTGAATTATTTTAATGGCTATATTATGGTGAAATTATGATTCTATACATAGACATGGATATGTGAATTACAAGCATAAAAGAATTAGTAGAATCTAGCTTTAATTTCTAATGAATATTTGAAGTACAATTCTAAAAGCCCATTGTCACCATGGAATATTATATGATTGAATATTAAGCTTTTGAAAGATGTGTCTGTACCTGTTCAGGGTGCAAAATTGAGAAATGGATCAATATTTAATGACATACTAAGTGCAGAATCCAGACTCTGCAGGGAAATATCTCTAATGGAAGAAGAGACAGCCTTATAGTACAAAGTAATTTATTTTAAGTAAAACTAAAATTAAACATTAGGCTTGAATTTTGTAACAGTATCTGATCAAGTTCTATTTAACATGTTATTTATTTTAATTATATTTCCAAATTTAAAGTAACCCGTCCATCATTTATAGAAAATCTGAATTAAGGAGATCAGAAGGAATTGAGTCTCCTTGGCCAGAAAAATGAAAGTAATATGATCCAAATTAGCAAGGACAAGGTGCTGGAAGTAGAATTTTGTATAATGTAATAGGGGATATATTATATACAAAAATTTGCTTTTCTTTTTTTCCTTTTTTTCTTTGCTTACTGAAAGTTTATATAATATGGAAATTATCATCTAATTTCTGTTATTGAAGCCCATTCTGTCATTATTAGAGCCATGATTGCATACAATTCATATTCCTATGGTCCTAGCTTTACTTGACCTTTCATTTCAACATTTGGACACCACTACCCATAATTTTAATTATCCTGAGTAAACGTTTTAATTTTTTTAAAGACATGATATGTTCTACAAATGATTTAAATGAAGATTTTTTTTTAAATCCTTAGGTGTATCAAATTCATCAACCTCATGGACTTTTGAAAAAGATCAATTCTGTAATCCAAAAAATAACAGAACCCATTCAACCTAAAGTGGCAGAACATAAGCATCAGACAGTGAAACGACTTTCCTATCCTTTCTCAAGGGAGAAGCAACACTTGTAAGCTAAAGTTCATTGGTTTTAGTTAATGTCATTTACAACAAACAGAATTGACCCCTGGGAATAGCACTAGGCTCAAATATGTGAATATTAATAGAAATGTGTAGGCTTGTGTTTGAATACAATTTGCACTAAATTTATCATTTTTTCCCCAAATAAACAGGATCTTGCCTAACTCATGGAAGATTTTTGTCATGATGAATTTCCTTAGGGACTTACAAAATAATCCTACACCCATGTGCAAGTTAAATCCCACTGAGTTCAAGCAATGCCCCCAAGTAAACAGATGTAGGATTCCAGTTTCAGGCTGTAGTTCTGTCCTGACTGATTGGGAAATAAGCCAACTGAATCCAATCAGGCTTACTTCTAAAGACATAAAAAAGCTTGATGCAACAAATAGTTGGATTCCCAAAGCTATGACTAATAAAAGAATGGTAGATGTCTTATGTGGCTACTTTTTCTTTATTAAAAATCCATTGGGATGTATGCCATACTTTCCCAAAAGTGGTTCAAGGGAGAAAGCATCTAAGCGGCATCACATTCTATGGCCAAGTCTGCCTTGTAATCTCTTTACCACAAGCAGAATACAATACAAATCATGAGAAAAGCAATCTGATAAAAGTTAATAAAAGTTGTATTACAAGGAAAAACAACATGCAGTGAATTAAAGTATATGAACTTCCACTGGGAGACTAGTGGGCTTCCTTGTGCAGATGTTGGGCATTATAAAAATTGACTGCTGGACTAGATGGATCAGTGATTTGATCCAGCAGGACATTTTTTATATTCTAATTTGGTCTCCATGTGACAGTATTCAGTTTAGCAATCATTACATGATATTTCTCAGTTGAATATGACTTTTAGTAATAGGAATGTAATTACAGGGTACCCCCTTATGATTCTACTGTACATTTTTTCTTGAAAAGCAATGTTTTGATATGATCATCAGCAGAGAGCCATTTCAGAATTGTAGGCTCAAGCCACAAGTCTATGAAAGCAGCAAGAGTAGTTGATATTGAACATAACATTCTACATGCAATGTGTTGGGTATATGTTAATAGCTGAAACTTTCGAACTCTTCTTCAAAAGAAGAGTAGCAACTTTCTGAAGACTTGTTGAAGTAAAGTTTTGACCAAATAATATGATTCTGTTGTATATTGCTTTACATTTTTTTTTAAAATTTTTTCTTTTCCTTCTCTACTATCACAGGTTTGACCTCTCTGATAAAGACTCCTTTTTTGATAGCAAAACTAGGAGTACCATAGTAAGTACCATAGTATTTATAAAATATTAGAGTAAGATAGTATTCCTCTTTAGCTGCTTTCATTATTTCTATATAATTCACTATATGAAAAATCTACATCAGAAGTGAATAATCTGACTCATGCATCTCTCCATATCTTAATTTTTAATGTGGTAGAAGAGGAAACTCATTAAATATGTGAGTATAGAGTAAAACTGTTTAATGTTAATTAAATGTAAATGAAATAAAATAAAATTGAGTTCTTGTCTCAGGCCGCTATTCTTTTGCATTATGATTCTCGATTCAGAAAATGTTCTGCATATCTATGTCAACGTAAAAATACATATTTTATTTTTTTAATCTTAAAAAAAGAAAAATAATCAATTCAAACATATATGATAATACAAAAAAACAAAACAAAATAATAATAATTACACAAAAATCCAAAACAAATATTTTTTTAGAAACCAGAAAAATGAAGAAAAGGTAATGGTGAATAATTGATTTTTAAAATGTCTTAAGACATTTTATTAATATATAAACATGCAATATATCACTGGGAAATGTTGCAAAACATGTTGATGTCATAAAGCAGGATAAATATCTAGGACTAAAGTATGCCTGAATGCGCATAGCTGCTCACGCAGGAAAGCTTTCTTTTCCACTTTTCCCATTGTAGGTGCCACCAAAGTCAGTTCTAGAGAATTGGGAAGACTTTGGGAATAAATTCTGAGGACATCTGAAGGAACTTCAAGATAGTAGGAAAGTGTCTACTAGTTCTGCTAATACAAATAATTCCCACAACTGAAAAACTTAGTTTTCTTCACAAAAAATCCTGTAACATAAGTGAAGGCTGCTCCAATTAAGAGCTTATGGTTCCCAACAGAATAGGAAGGTAAAGGAGAGCGGTCTTCCCTGCTTTCTCATCTCTTAAAGCTGTATATAGAAATATTGTTAGTTCAATGTAATACAGCTGTTTTGCATTTTGCCTAATACGATGTCACAGTATGTTGCAGAAAAATAGTTTAGTACACTGTACATATTAAACAAATTCAACTCCATTTCTCTAGGTTGAATTAGTGTGAAATATAAAGTAACAAATGCTATCAAACACATCATCGTATAAATCACTCCCTGAAAGTTTTCACTCCCTGAAAAAGGAATAATTCAATGGAATAATTTTCTATGCATAGAAAAGTAGTTCCAAGCAGAATTTGTAATGTTAATCAGTAATAAACTTAGATAGTCATGGAACTGGATGTATAGAAACTCTCCTCTTGGTGATATAGATATGGATTGTTGCCATTGGCTGTCATTCCATGACACAAATGATGTAACGGTTTGTTAATTAATAGCTTTGTATAATGGCTGAAGACACACTGACAATTAAAAAATGACTAGCTAGAATCTAACTTTGGTTTGAGCTTGCCTCTTAAGGTTGTAGTTAAGCATTAACTATGAAGGCAGGCTTCTGATTAGCTAATGATGACAGTCCTCTAGGGCAGGGGTAGGGAAACTTGGCTCTTCTATCACTTATGGACTTCAACCAGGGGTGGGATTCTATCAGTTCGCACCTATTCTCTAGAACCGGTTGTTAACAATCTAAGCAGTTCGGAGAACCGGTTGTTAGCAGAAATTACTGGCCTAATCCTGTAAGGAAGTCAGGAAGGAAACATTCTGGTGTTGCTTACAGAAACTGCCTCTCCGTTAACCCTTATTACATTCTTGGCAGGACTAGACTTCCTGTCTCAGGAATGTCTCTGGAGTTTTTTTCCCCTCCTTTGCTGGTACTTTGCTTGTGTGGAGTGACCATTCAAAGTTACAATGGCACTGCAAAAAGTGACTTATGACCATTTTTCACACTTATGACTGTTGCAGCATCCCCACAGTCATGAAAGGCTAGATGAGGAGATGTGTGCCTCGATGTGAGTGATATTGAGTTGGCCACACCCAGCCAATAACATGACTACCAAGCCATGTCCACCCAGTCACATGACCACCAAGCCACGCCCACCATCTAAGCCACGCCCACAGAACCAGTTATTAAAATTTTTGAATCCCACCCCTGACTTCAACTCCCAGAATTCCTGAGTGAGCCATAAAAGGTTCCCCATCCCGGGCCTACTGGTTTTTCAGTTGTGGGGCAAATCAATTTTTGACTTGAATGGGACTGTTTAATATGCAAAAGGATTTCATAAACAGCTTCAACAGTAATTCTTTTACCAAAAATAATTTTTCAGAACCCAGATATTTTTTTCTGAAGAAGATACAAGAAAAAATTAGGAATGCTTGCCTCATATGTTGACTTCTCTCCACTTGTTGAGAACCAAAAAAAAATTGACAGTTCCTACTTGGTATAGGCCAACATCAACTTTTAAATGCCCTGGAGAATAGCTCTGAAGGGATGCCAGATTTAGTAGCAGTCTGGCTCTTTCTCAGCATGTGGTGTATCTTGCTTTAAAGTGATATAGTTTATGTTTAACTGGAACATTTGCATTATGAAGAAGCTCCAATACCCAGAGCAAAGTTGCTATGGATTAGTATTCAGCTTGTAGTAGATTCCTTTTGTCAGTTTTATAGCACTAAGGAGTCTGTATAAATTGCATGAGGAATGTTATTGCCTTTTGTACTTCCTGTATCTTCTTCCATATGCTAAACTGTCATCAGTAATCTTATACCAAATACCATAATAAATTCTGCTTCCAACTCTCACTTTTCTTATCTGAAGAACAGAATATTCTATTGCTGGTTTGTTTTGTCCCCTGTTTTCTTCCCATTTATTTTGACTAAACAAGCCAGCTAATACTATTAACAAATGTATTTTATTAAAAACTATGTTTAAAAAGGTTTTTTTTAGTTTAGCTATGAAGAGTTTATATTGCTAATGAATGACTGTTTTTATCATATATAATGTATGAGAATTGATTTTTCCATATATCTTTCCACATTGGGGAAGACACAATTATTTCTACATAGATTTTATTTCATTTAACTCAGAAAACCTTCTGAGATACATCAAGGGCTAGCTTATAAATTTCAGGAAGGGAAGGAAAAGGAAAGAAATTGTGAATGTGTTATTTTAATTTCTTAAGAAATAGAAAGTTGAAGATGGACAAAGTGTTGCTACTGAGATATTTTGAAGTACAATCACAGGTTGTACAACTGTACAGTCAATCTACAATTGACAATCATACTCACAGCCCAGAAGGATATAAGAGAGATAGCTTGCAAATGACCTAATAAGAATACACTTTCCCCACTGTCTAATGCCACATGTTAACATTTATAAAGTTGTTTTTAATTGTTCAATTTCATACAATTTTTTTTACAACTCTGCATTCCAAAAAAATCTCTGTGAACTGCAATCCTATCCATTGTTTTCTGAACTATTAGTTGGATTATTCTGTCAGTATTCTTTTTGGTCCAGAATGCTCCCCCCTCCCCGCAAATTAGAAAAGTGAGGAAAGGTGGTAAGTTTTTTTTAATTGGTTTCCATGACTTGGGAATACAGCTGTGTACCATCCATTTAACAAATAAGACTTAATTAAGGAAAACAAAATAGAAAAAAGACGTGACATTGTTTTTAAGCCCTGGAGATTATATATGTCACTTTGTGACTCATTAGATTGGAAAGGTTTTGATGTTTTATAATAATTTAAATCTTCCTTTCAGAAGAGTTGCAATCATAAATATATGAATGAATTATATATGTCGTGTGGGGCTTGTACCAATTGTATCTTATTAGTCAATACTTTCATTTATATTGAAAACAGTCATTACAGACTGTTTTTTTTTACAGACACTTGACCAATGCATATTTGATTCAATTTGCTGTGCCTAGTTTTAAAAAACACGGCATTTCCTGGTTATATTATCTACATTTATACGGAACAAAATGAGGTGATACTGATATAAATTTTCTTTCTTGTAATTGTTTATCACAAAGATGCTAATGAATGTGGCAGACTTTCTGCAGGACAGACTTCACTGCTGATGCAAAAGCTAGCGACTTGGATTGTCTAACCTCCCCCAAAATAGATATTTCTGAAATTATTTCAATTTTCTTTGGAAATAATTTTTCTAGTGTCCCATCTGTTTAACTAACAATGTTTGCAAAGAAGGGGAGTAAAATGTAGTTGCAGAAATGCAGCAGTTGGGCTGCAAAAATCTGAACTACCGTATTTGCCGGCGTATAAGACGACTGGGCGTATAAGACGACCCCCCAACATTTCCACTCAAAATATAGAGTTTGTTATATACTCGCCGTATAAGACTACCCCCTCTTCCACACACCTTCCACTTTTGCACTTTTTTTTTTTTTTGACGCACTTTTCTGCTTTGGACAATTTTGAAATGAGCTAATCCAATTTTGAACCAAGAATATGCAAATAGCTATGGAGTTTAGAAATGAGTTTTAAAAATATTTTTCATTGCTTACCATTAAGCGTAAAATATGTTGTAAATAAAATGAGAACACAGGAAACGTTCTCTTCTCAATACAGCTGATCTCTCTCTCTCTCTCTCTCTCTCTCTCTCTCTCTCACACACACACACACACCAAAAACCCGGACACTGAAAAGGCTGCCAAGGAACAGTATATTCAATGCCTTCTCTTTAATCAAGAAACAAGGAATTCCTTAGAATCTTTTTTTTTCCCCAAGTGGCCCTCTTTAAAAAAAAAAATGGAGGTAACACTTTCATTCAAAAGTCTTCCAGTATCTGGAGTCGCTCAGACATATTGAAGTGAGGCAGGAGAGTAAGTGAAATTTGAAATGATCCAGCTACCGTTTTCTTCCCCTCCCGCCCGAAGGCCATTATCTCCACGTCAAAACGAACGAGGGGAGGCAAAGAAGCCAAACACGCTAAAAAGGATCTCTTTATTTTCCTACACAAGGTCACACCTACTTTTCTGCATTCAAAGGACAACCTCTCCTCACCACCACCACACACACACACACACCCCAATACCCGCAAACAATGTTCTGGGCATTAATCACCATTGCTACATTAACCTGGTAAATTTATACCCTGCCTCCCCCAGTGTTGCTTTGACGGCAGGATTTCACACAGCGGGGCGCTCGCTCGCTCTCTTCTCCGCTCTCCCACCGTTCGCACATGTTGAAAGCACCGTAAAACCTGATAACCCACCCGGGGGCTCCCCCATCCTTAACCTACAGCTGCCCGCATGCAAAATCTGCGTGCAAAAAGAAAAAAAGAAAAAGAAAAGTACGCCGCACGTGAGGATCTTCGAATCCTCTCCTCCCCACACCGCTAAGGAAGGAAGAGGGGGAAAGGTTGCGCAGCGCGTGGCGAGTGACACCCGCCACACACACACACACACACACACACACACACACAAACACACCGCTTCCCCCCCAGCCTCCCTCCCGCCTGCAACTCAAGCTCGAAGTGGGAGTCGGAGTCCTCCCGGCGTATAAGACGACCCCCCCACTTGGAGGCATGTTTTTCAGGGCAAAAAAGTCGCCTTATACGCCGGCAAATACGGTACCATAGTTAGAGTTTTCTAAATCTCTTTGATTATTTTGATTTTTGTAGCCCAACTGAATGAATACAAATGAATGAAGGAAACATATTACTCCACCCAACATTAGCATTAAATCTAATTGATAAATAGGTGATGTTTGCATTATGTGTTGAGACAAGCACTATTAGCCCCTGAAACCTATAGTCAGATGTAAAAGTCACAGCAATGTTTAAAATTATTTCAAATGTTAATAGGATGCTTCTGCAATATGAGCAAGTAATCTAATAATAATCAAATAGCAACCCATTTAATTATTTATTGATACTGTGGAAACATCGTAACATTCTAACCCTAGGAAAAAAGGAATAGCTTATAATAATGGTATTTCTCAAAGTTGTACAAAATAATTGTTTTTCATAATAGGAATTTTACATTTTTAATATTTTGCTTGCTTCAGAATTGCATTTGTTCAGTATTATTTTATTTCCCATTTCCAAAGCAGCTACTTGTTCTCTAATGTTTATTAAACATTTTCCCTATAGGTTTATGAAATACTGAAAAGAACTACATGCACCAAAGCAAAATATAGCATGGGTAAGAAAATTTATTTAATTTCAAATTAGTCTAGCTTTCAGAATGTTTTTAGGTTGTATTTTAAGAGATTGTAAGTTTTACACCTTTACATAAAAAGCTGGATGCAATATGCAGTAGATGACCTGCTTAAAGATGTTTTGTGAAATGATTTTAGCTCATAACATATATACAAGATGTTGATAAATAAAACAATTTCTTATAGATATAATCATTGCTTACAGATGTCTGTTAATATAAATTTTATTTATGAGAATCAATGCCAAAGATTGTTGGATTTGTTTCTGTCATATAAAATACATGTATTGTATTCCTTTCCATGTTTACTTAGAAGCAAATGTCATTTGTCTTCCCTAACCCTAGAAAGTATGGGGAAAGCTTCTAGATCTAACCTATAAAAAATCTACCTGATGGAAGCAAAGAGGCATTTATTCTAATATATTGGCTTTTTGGATTTTTGCAACCCAGATTTGGGGACTGTAATTTAGTTTCAGTATGTGACTTTTCTTTTTAAATTTCAGTATTACGTTATTTTAATTTGCACTTTGTAAACGAGCTCTTTATCAGTAAAGAATTTACTTCAAAAAGGGAAATTGAATTAATGCTATTCATATATAAATACATGTATTGGCAAAAAAAAAAAACACCAGCAATTCACTGTTTTTTGAAAACTAAAGGCAAATCAAGTTGATTGTATCAATTCTGGTGTAAAGTATGTCATGTCATCAACATATCACTGCTACTTGTGTATTTGGATATAAATGGACTGATCCTTAAAATATATTATGGGACAGTTTATTGTTTATCATAAAAAGAACTATAATTTAAAAAAATCTTTTAAACTAAGGACATAATGAATTAGCAAAGAAAAATCTTAAATCTGAGCACACATGCTGAATTAAATCATATACAATATTTACATCTCATTCAAGAACATTGTGTCAGCTCTATTCCTTGCATTCTAAAGAGTTCATTAATTATGTGGCCCCATTAAACAGTGTTTTTAATTCAGTGTACTGTTGTGAAAATGAAGACTATGCAACGCTTCAGATTCAAAGCAAAAGGCATTTAAGAACTTGTGGAACCTGTCTGTAGCTCCTTAAAAGAGGCGCAACTTTTCCTGAGGCTGGGTGACTGCCCTCTTCAGCTTTAGTGTGATCCCAGTAGATGTTACTTTTGGTTTAAACAGTTGTAAAAAGATGCTGCATTTGTACTCATGCATGCCGGAAGGCATTTTTCTCTTTGAATCCAAAGCTTTTCATAAAACATAATTTTCACAACAATATTTTTTTAAAATAAGGTCAGGATAGCTGTATCCTTTACCCCACACCTGAAGCACTAATCAGCCCTAGCACGAACCATTATTTACATTTGCTGAGTAATTAATTTCATAATTTCAAGGCATTACATTCTGATTTTCTGTGTGTTTGGCAGTTTTTCTTCCATAGTAAGCTGCTGTGAACACTTTGCAGGAAATACCTAGAGACATGTCTGTGCATAAATGCATATGACATTAGATACATCATTAAGGGAAGCTGTAGAGTTGATTTTTTAAAAATTGTATTTATTTGGATCCCTTCTTTATTATTTTGACAAATAACTAAAAGCAGCAAATATATCCAACACACCTTTCGCCTCCTGTTTTCCCCACAATAACTTTGTGAGGTGGGTTCAGCTGAGAGAGGGTTGCCCAAAGTCACCCAACCTGGCTTTCATGGCTAAGGTGGGACTTGAACTCCCAATCTCCTGTTTTCTAGCCTGGTGGTTTAACACTAGATCAGGGGTGTCAAACTGGTAGCAAACAGGCCAGATGCGTCACGCCCATCTCACTCCGTGAAGGGGAAAAACATTGCAAAACTTCACATGGTGGCAATGTGATGCTGCGAGTTTGATACCCATACACTAGATCAACTAGGCTCTCTACTGTGGTGTTGATTTATTGCAATAAAATTATAAAATTGTTAATGAATTGGAGGCAAAGGGCTGTACAGCAATTTAGATTCAAAGGGCCAAATGTGTGTACTTGTTGAGAGCACCTTAAGCCAAACAGTTTTTCTACCATGCAGTTAAAGAAAAGGAGATTGTTCCTCTATTTTCTGACAGGTGTGTCTACATATGTTCCAAATTACATTTTACACATATCATGGATTGCTACAGGCATGTGTTGAAGTAGTTTGGTTCATCTAGGATACCATTTCTCAACCGGATGGTCTCCAGATTTTTTGGATTATATCCAAATACTACACAGACCAGGAAGTGTATTTTGAGTTATGGAGTGTAGTAGATCACTTTCTGATATCATTGCAGTCATTTACTGAACCTGTTGAATATGGGAATCAACCCACACTTTTTAAATCTTGGATGGTATCTTTGAAAAAGGATATTTTCTGCAGCATGAAAAAATCAAGATCAAGGAGTTCTTAGCAGAAAGCTGTTTCCTAGCATTTACCAAGCAGTTTGTGATTATGATTATAATTTATAAGCTAAGTTAATAGGCATGGTTACATTAATAAAGGACCTCCTTTCACCAGATATGTATATAGGAAAACCCCTAATTTTAACAAAGTAGATTGCATGTAAATGGATCTTACATCTCCTGGAATGTATTTATATCAAAAACTGTGAATGCTTGCAGTCTGTTAACATAAATAATAATAGGAATTATTAGTTAGAAAAAATGATAAGTTACTTTGAATGCATCAAGATACTGTAAAATGTATGGATGTGAAATGTGGTCTCTGAAGCTCATTATCTCCAAACTGACCTAAGACACCTCCAGGATTCTGTTTTCAAATAATTAATATTTTCCCCTCAAATGAATGAACCAGCAGCTTCAGTAGTGAAAGAGGAAAATTATACTATACCAACAAATGTTTCCTGCCATTTGTTTGGACTGTTGTTGGTACTTGGCCAATCTCTAGTCAAAATATCGGTGTATAGTTTCAAGCTTTTAAGGCTCCATGGAAGAATTTAGTTACAGCTTCTGGGTGCTGCAGGTAGTGTTGTTATGCTCATGATGTTTAACAAATGAGCAGGGTTGGCTTTTCAATTTTTTTTTTTTTTACAATAGGATCTAGGCTTCTGAGAATTACCCCATTTAAAAGTGAAGCAGCTAATCTTTGTCATTTTAGAGAACCAGTTTTAAATTTGCCACTTAGAGCCACAAATAGAAGAATATACTAAAATGCTTGAGAAAATAAAACTGATTATTTCATGACCAGGGAGTTCTGTTTGACTTTGCCATTTTAAATATTACAACTATATATTGGCAGATGATTTAGAGAGGGAAATTCATCAAGGTTGCTGCTAATATTGATAATAGACTAACTTGTACATGCATAAGTTCTCCTTTTTTTATTGCAATTCTCTAAATAATATCAAAATCAGTTGCACTGATCATTTCACTTTTTTAAAAAGCAAAGGCAAAGTTTTGGTATTCCTAGTAAACTCTTTGTGGAAATATCCCAATTGTTAGATTATTATCAGGAGAAAACCAACCATTGCACATAAATGCCTTCCAGAACATTTGGCAACAATAATCAATGGGAAACTAGCACAAAATACAACTGGAAATGTTATAATGTTGCATTAAGAAGAAATAATTATTATAGTGAAGTAACCTGTTTGTTAAGATAAATTTTGGTTTTTAAGGAAACTGAAAACATTTTCTCAAAATACTATTTAACAAACAATGGTATACCCTTTTGTATTCCTGCCCAGTGCTTTGTTTAATTTTTTTTATTTTTTGTATGTTTTACTGATTAGATTAAAGCCAGTGTTCAAAATAGGATATCAGGAACCTCAAGCGTATATTCTTAGGTAACATAATCCCTTCAAAGTTTGTTAGGATTCCCATATTAGAAAGCTGCTACTTTAATGTTGGCTGCTGTAATGAAAAAAAAAAACACATTTGGGAATAAAATATAGGTTTCAAAAATGTATAGACAGCTGGACTATGATCAGCTTTATCAAAGTACATTCTTCATTCACTACAAAATCTCAGCATCTCCCAGTGTGTCTAATCAATATACTCTGACATTATTTAATTCCAAACTAAAGATGATTCCTCTGAAGGAATTATATACATTTCCCAGAGTCTCCCATTGCACAAGCATTGTAATTGCTCAATTATATAACTAATAGACAAATGTGTAAACAGGGAAAGGAGAGGGAAGAAAGAAGGACACTACCCTTTTAAATAAAAGACGAAAATGTGATAAATATGGTAAGTATGATGCCAAGGCCTTTCCAAAGGCTTTCCAAATAGCTTCTCTAATCAAGCTTAAATCTGATTTTAAAACTCTCTGTGTGAGTGTGTGTGTATGGTTTGCATGAGGATGTGCGTGGGGATGCGTCCTGTCCCCAATGATCAATCCAAGCTTTCTCTTTCTTACAATCTCGCCTTTTGCTACCCTTCCAAATCTGTGGCCTTGCTTTTCAAATCCAATTTAAAGATTCAAGGTAGGTAAGTTATTATACTGATTAATTTGAAGTTCATTGGCTTCCTGTCTTGATTTGAAAATCATGATTTCTGATTCTCTATAAATTTCCTTTTCTTGATATCAATCCACTTTATAGTCCATACAGTTAAAAGATATGGAATCAAATGAAATGGGCCAAGATTCATTCTTTAATAAAATTATTGAAGTTTTGAGAGGGAAATCTCCACAGATGGAAAGTGAGGGAATTACTTGAGAGAATTCAGTTGTGGTAATATAAGTAGGTTATTTCTTCTTGTTTTTTCAGGGATCACCAGTCTACTTGCCAATAATGTTTACAGTGCTGCATATCCCTTGCATGATGTAAGTAGTCTTGAAATATATTTTGTGTTTCTAGAACACGATAACAAGAATCCCTTATGCATTAGATATGAATGACACTATGCTAAACATCTTCAGTATTTCATGAGCCAGCCAGCTGTACATTTAGATTAAAAATTAGCAGTTTGTTTAAGAATCTGCCAACTTGTTATGGGTTTAGTCCCAAACTGAATTTCTTTTCATTTTTCATGAAATAGAGCTATACAGTCAATTCAGCAAATAACCAACTCAGCAAATACTCACTTTGATTTTCTGCCTTCAAGAAGTATATATTCTACTTACCTATCTATCTTCTGATTTAACTATATCTAATATCTTTTTATGCTTATAAAGATTTGGATGATGGATAGAATAGGAAAATATATTAACCATTCAATTTATTTTTTATTCTAGTTACATATTAAATGATGTTTATGTTTTTGCATGCATGGCACTCTTTGGTGACTTTTTATATACAAAATACAATATAAAAGTGCAGGTAGTTCTCAATTCTGGTAGATTCTTAGTCATGAATAATATACATTTCTATGATGGATGTTTATGATCATAATATTAAAATCCAGAGTCACCTTATAAGGGAGATGGGCAGTATTATAATTTAAATAAATAAATAAGCAAATAAATAAAATGTTTTGTTTAAAAGTGACAATTTAGTCAATGTCATGCTTGAAAAATGAATGTTAACACAAACTTTAAAAAATAACTTACATTTTCATAACACAAATCTTAGGTTCTTAGGGATACAGTATATCTACTCAATCAGAAAATTTAGAATGAAATATATTGTTCACTGATTCTGAACCTTTGGATCATTATTACATTTTTTGTGGGAAGGATTGCTAGATGCAAATAAAATATATTCCAGATTTGGGTATTCCTTGTGGAATAACATCATTTTTCTTTTCTTAAAGGGTGATTATGAAGGTGAATATGTTGAGCCAAATGACAGAAAAGTAAGTTGATATAGGGGAACAGAAGCATGTTCAAGTGTCAACTTTAAGAATCATGTGTTGTGATATAGACAGTTGCCAATATTTTATAGAAAGGCAGAGGTATTTAGAAGTGCTCTTTTAAATTCTTGTAGTAGCTGTGACAGGACGTCCTCTGTTGATAGAGGCAGATATGATTTATTGAAGAATTTACAATCGCAGATCAAAAAAACAAGAAAGGAAAATCAATATGCAGTCATATACACTTATTCACAGCAAAAACTAAATAGGCCTCTGTTCAGCTCCAACAGGTTCTGACTGCCACTGTTGTGGCAAGAATTTGGTCACTTTCTTAGAGACTTCACAATATTGGGTATTTAATAGGAATCACATAGTTGCCTGTCGTGACTAGTTTGATACTATGATAATTTGAGAGGTGAGGATATATTAGCTCCATCCCTCAAGGACTGACTTTTCAAAGGGGTGCATGCAACTGTCTCAATTTTCACATAATCATTTTGAATAGGAATATTATTGAATCTCCCAGTGAATACCATTGAAGGCAGAGCACTTAAGTAAGACTGTGAGTACCCACCTCTGTAACGACACAAGCATATCTAAAAGAATGTGGTGAAAGGGATTACCTGAACTCATAGTAGTAAAGGTGCTAGGCTTATTGTGAATCTATCCCTTTGTATATCATTTAGAATTATATCATAGGGCTAGGCAGGATTTTTTATACCATCCCACACAATATCCAATCTTTTCTTGAAAACCAGTGATGGCCATTCACAATACCAGAAGGCTGGCTATTCCACTGGTTAATTGCTTTCACTTTCAGGAAATTTCTCCTTAGTCCCAGGTTGGATCTCTCTTTAATGAGTTTCTACCTGTTGCTTCTTGTCTTGTCTTCTGGTGCAATCAACCCTCTTGACTGCTCCTCAGCTACTGGAAGACAGCTATCATTATATCAATATGTAAAATATATATCAAATATATCTCATATATATATTTAAATCAAATGGATCAACATGATACACACACAAACACACACACACACACACAAGGAAATGTGATTTAAACTAAGCTTCATGAAATAAGTATACAAACACATAAATTAATTTATAGCATCAGAGAACAATGGGCATGATGTTGACGTTATAAACATTCTCTGGTTGATCTTACTCCAGGTTTTGGCTAAGCTCAGCATAGATAAGGATTGTGAGGATAAGCACATAACAGACTGCGCTGGATGTTACTTACTTCTTCTGTGGGGAATTGTATTGGTCTATTAGTACAAGTTGGATTAGAACTAATTGGTCTGTTAGTACAAGTTGGATTAGAACTAATTGGTCTATTAGTACAAATTGGATAGGTTTGTTTAAGACAGAACTTTTAAGTGAAAGTCCAAGATCTAAAGAAGTGCATTTGCAACAATAAGAGGAACTCAGAGCAGAGACCTCAGGAATTTGCACTGAACTGTTTCTGGCATAGCACTGTTAATTAGCAGAACTCCATATGCTATACAGCAAGACTTATCAATTTGGTTTTAAAAGGTTGAAGTGCTGCAGGCACATAATTGTTTCTCTTAGAGCTTGTGTATCTGGTTGTATTTACTAAGAGGTGCAATAATAACTCCCCTAATATTTGGACAATAAGCAATATCCAAGTTGAGTAGCCAAAGCTTTTATGAAAACCTAGTTATCTATTTCCAGTTGCACACTTCCTGGAAGCTTCAGTCGTCAAACTTGACATATTCTGCACATACATACTGTCAATCACATAATAAGTGGATGGGAAATGCAAAAAGAAACCATTTTAATAGTAGAAATGTTGGAGATTGGTATATTAAACAAAACTCAAGTAACTTAAGGCCACTTCTCCTGTCATGGTAATTAACACAACAGTATCATCCTTATATGAAATAGTGGCCCCTCATACAATTGATTATTTGTGTTACGAAAGCTAGCAATAACATTACATTTTTATTTTAAGAAAATATAGTTCTGCACTAAACGTGCTTCTTTTTGCTGCCGTTTTTATCAATACTAATGGAAAAGAAATGGATTTTGTTTTTGTTTTCCAAGGCAAATCCTGATAAGTAAAGTGTAGAGTGCTATCACTTGATTTAGTTCTGTGTGGATAAGTGGTGCAAATGGGTGTCCTGTTTTGCACTATATAATTATCTCTACAGCAATCCGCTACCTGGTGTTCAATTCCAAGGAAAGGCAGGTACCCAGGGAAATTGCAGGATGGTGGAGAGATGCACAATAGAAAAACAACATCGGGAACACCTGCCATCTTATTACAATAAAATAAGCTCAGATTGTAAAGCACTCAGATAAGAAGGTAGATATCTGGATCTACTAGAGAGCTTTAGGAAAATCATATTTCAATACAAATGTATCTGTTTTTATGCTAAAGAACAAATGGTTCTGGATTATTATTTTTTTTAAAAAAAGCTTGGCCACCTTACTATTATAGAATTTCATTGGGGAGGGGATCATTTTCTATTCCACCTCAGTCCAGAGGGGTTTTAACTTAATTATGTGACCATGTGTATTTCTGATCTCATGGTTAGCTACATCATCAAATGGGGGAACAATGCAGACTTGGACCATTTCATGCAACAGCTTCATTTGCACATGTTCCAAGAGGCATCAAAACATGTACAGCTCCATTAGGTGCAAGATTTCATATAATCACAATCACCTTTTAGGCTCCTAATCCCTAGTCACTTTCACTACCACCATCTCCCAGAAAATTCATCACATTCCTTTTCCATTCTTGTTTTCCCATGATGTATTCATCATTCAGGGACTTTTCATATTTGAGTTGTTAATAGCATCTTACACCATTTTCCATAGTATAAAAAATTCAGTTCAGCTGTCATGAAAGTATGCTGTGAATGAAAATAGAGTTGCTGGTGGATGAATAGTCCAACATGCATATTGTTATCAGTACAAATGTTTAAATGAAACCAGTTCTAAAAATAAAAAGGATTTTTCAAAATGTATGAGTTATTGAATCTAGAGTTAAGCATATTGGCCCCAGATCAGAATTCAAAAGTTATTTAGTGGCATATAAAATTCCGACAATAAGCTCTGAAGAAGGATTGGAGGTAGTTATCCCTGAAAGAACCTTTGATCTAAGTTCAGAACTGCCCTGCCACATCCTCACTTTTTTAAATAGAGGTATCCATCCTAATGTAAAATTAAGACTTTCTGTAGCCTCTGAAAAATAACGTTATCTTAAATTATTTTACTGGATGTATTTAATCATGAATAGTTAATGTAATGTCAGAAACATTCTAAATATATGGCTTATTGTCTTCTTTTTATGACTATGCACTGAAGAAAAGCAAAGAAAGTGAATAGCAAAGTAACACCTTAATCTAATTTAATCTCTCGGCAAGATTTTGTCAAAGTTTTTCAGAAGTGGTTAGCGCCTGTTTCCTAGAGCTGAGAGAAAGTAACTGACCCAAGGTTTCATGCCGAAGAAGGAATAGAACTCATGATCTCCTAGTTTCTCGCCTGGTGTTCTTAACCACTACAACAAACTGGATCTCACATTAGCTTAGTAACTGCATATATTCTGCATCATAAAGATTCATGAATAAAAGAATGAACACATCATCCACATCTATTAAGAGTTTTTCTGGTATTGGCTTTCTTAGCAATCCCAGCTTTAGTACCCCAGTTGCATCTCACTACTCTCTGTTTATTAGTTTTTCTATAAACGAATACAAGAATATGACCATGAGCCAAACCACAGACATAATCAATTTTTAATGCAAGCTGAATATATTGGTGGAACATAAAAAATTAAAATATAATGACACTAAGACATTGAGAACTAAGCAGTAGAATTGAAATAAGAAATTACTTGTTTCCAGTTTTCATTTTCTGTTTAAATTTCTTTTCTAGCTCCTGTGTGAAGAATGGGCAAGTTATGGAGTATTTTATAAATATCAACCAATTGACTTAGTCAGGTAAGAAACAGTGATAACTCCTTACTTGTCTCTTACTTTAAATACTTATTATGTGTTTGTATATGTGCATTAATAGTAGCAGATTACAGCTTTTGGGTAACAGTTGTAGCCTGCTACAGTATTCAGAAAGCTGTGACTTTCATATAGCTAGTCATCGGCTTATGAAAAGTGGCCTCTGAAAAACAGATCCCCAAAAAATAAAGCATATTTAAGTTTAGGATAAAATTTCATATTGCACTGGTCATACTATAGTCCTCTGTTTTCCCCCAGATTTACCAAGCAATGATTTTAAACCATTTTAACAGTGCAGTTTGGGGTGGATTTGGGGGGAGGTTGTTCATTTGTTTGTTTTTGTTTTGTTTTTTGCTTCTTTAACAAATATACTAAAATGCATGGATCTTAGTTGGAAACAAAATCAGGTAAAAATAATTTCAAAGCGATATTATAAACCAATTCCAATATGAATAGTTCTCATGTTTCCAGAACAATACGTGTCTCAAAAAATTTCACCTATTTTCTGTGGAGGGTACTTTCCCTTATAACCCTTGCTATTAAATAATATTGTTTATTTACTTTGGAATTTTTTTCTTGAATTTCATTAAAAAGCAACTTCCATAGCAAATGTACCAGGGCACTTCCATGTGGTACTTTAAATTTGGACCTATAGTAACTCCTTAACAAACAGAACTGTTAAGTATTTCTTTTGGTGTAGGGATGAAACTATTACCAAGATATTAAAAGATACTATGAACTGAAGAAGCTTGGGAGCCTCTGCCATAACGGTTTGTTTTATATTGAATCAAACCATTGACCCATCTAGAACAGTGTTTCTTAAACTTGGCAACTTTAAGATGTGCAGACTTCATGCTGATGGGGAGATTCTGGAAGTTGAAGTCCACATATCCTATAATTGTCAAATCTGAGAAATACTGATCTAGAACATTGTGGTCTATACAAACTCTCCTGAATTTAATGGTCTCTAAATGTATTGAATCTTCTGGTCAGAAAATTCCAGGCTAGTTTTCCCAACACAACTGGAAGATACCAAGTTCAGGATGCTTAGTATACACTGGACAACAGTAAGTGTCTAGAATTGCAGATAGCTCTTTCCCAGTTTCCCAGTTTCAAAAGTCTGCAGACTTTTGCTCTACTAATAAAGACTATGTGGAAGTCACAATTAATTTGGAATGCAGCAGCTCATGTAATAATGGATACACTAAAGTACACCCATGTAACACCATAGCTTTGCAAGTGGTGCTAATTCCCAATAGGCTTCCAGATACAATTCAAGGTGATGGCTATCACTTATAAAGTCATTCATAGCACAAGATCAGAAAGGTTGTTTATGGGACCATTAAACCAATATCCATTTTTTTCCTGTCCCAAGTTTCACAAAGTGAGTATGCTTCTGGTTCCCTCTACGAAACAGTGCCAAGTATAACTATTGAAACAGAAAGGTAAAGCTACTTAATAAGCAAGAGTGGAGTATTTACTTGGTGTTTTTGTCCTGGACCTGTTCCAAATGGCATGTGGACATGAATTCTCCAAGAGGAAATGCATTTTGGCTAATCAACAGGATTTATTTCCTCATTCAAAGTCAGCCCTGCTGTCTAATTCATAAATTTAGCCATGCTACGTTTGCCATGATACATTATACAGTGTTTTCTTCATATAATTTATTTCAGGAAGTACTTTGGTGAAAAGATTGGACTATATTTTGCCTGGCTGGGAGTTTATACACAAATGCTCATTCCAGCTTCTATTGTGGGAATTATCGTGTTCCTTTATGGTTGTGCAACTGTTGATGAGAATATACCAAGGTAAAATATGCATACATAATTATTTGCACTTTGTACAAAACCATATTTTTCACTTATGTTCAGTATGATGAAAAATATCCTAAATGATTTTGACGAAAGCTAATACTTTACCTTCTGCAACCATACTCTTATATATATTCACAACTTACAATATTCATTTTTGAATTCAGGATCTTATTGTTACATCCATGAGTTTTGCTTATAAATAATGAGAACTTAGGTGTCAGCATTTCCCCAGGATTCAGTTTTCTTGGTTGCAGAGATATAATAAAGTTTCTGATATAAGGCTAATGCAAATAAGTACAATATTGTACAATAAGTAAAATCAAAAACTAAATGCTTTATAACATTTATGCTCCAATCAATTCTCATTTCTCAGTATACTCAGAGCCACAAAATGATTTGCAAGTGCCTCTTCTTAACTGGATGAAAACAGGGATTTCACTGTATAGTCCACTTTATAATGGACCTGTACTTACAGCCTCTTTCATTTCATTTCATTTCAGCCTATACATTTCTGTGTATAGAAACAGAGCACAGTCTGCCATTTTTTCCAGAATTGTATTGAGATTCTCATGTTGTAAAATACAAATGAAAATAAAGATAATAAGAAAATGGGAAAGGGAAAGAAAGGGGAAAGAGAAGTATAAGGGAATGGTGGGGGCATTGCTTTCCAACTCTTTTCAGCACCAATAAAGCACAAAATATAATTACAGCTTCAACTTTTCATTTTACCAATTTAACAAGTACTGGCCATTTCTATGATAACAAATTATACTAATCAGCAAAAGTCCAAAGGTTAATTTATTTTTCAGTCTTGAGTATAGAGTGCAGAAGTAGTTTCCAAATAGAAACAAAACCAGACATATTCTTTTCTCCAATTAAAATAGTCAACTTTGCCATCTTTGCTAGCTCCACCATTTTTCCTATCCATTCTTCTGTTGTTGGGACTGACATATCCACAGTCTGCCCTTTTCATGTATAATTTAGTGTTGGGTGTTCAGTATCTTAGTTGGCATCCATGGAGCCCAAAATGATAAGCAATAAAAACCCACATATCAGCTATTTCTTTTTTCAAAAACTATTTGTAGGATTATTTGTGGCAGAAAAGATTTGTCATATGAAGTTATCCATTGCTGTTGCTCTCACTACATAAGGAAGCACAAGCCAGCAGAGTAGCTATGGTGCAAAGTGGACATCTAAAAATTGAGGAGGAATTGCTGTTCATCCCTAATCCATTTGACTGCCAAATAGCTTTTGTGGGAAGGGACAGTGATAGATCAATAGATAGATCGATTGATGATAGACAGACAGACAGAAAGACAGACAGATAGATCTTGCAGTTTCCTTGCAACATTTTCAGACAACTGCTTTCTTCTTCAGGCTGAGTGAGGGTGACTGGCTCAAAGTCAGCTGGCTTTGTGCCTAAGGCAAGCTTGAACTTAGGATCTATTGGTTTCTAGCCTGCTGCCTTAAGCCACTATATCAAAGTGACACTTTTACTGCTTAATTAAGCATTGCAATTCAAAACATACATTTACGAGTTGGAAGCCATCATGAAACTTTGTGATAAAAGTTACAAGCAAACTCTAAGCAGAAAGACTTAAGATTTTTTTGTGTTTCACTTAGATAAATAAAAAGGAATGGATGAAGTACTTGCATTCCAAAATTATTGAAAAATATGTGAAGGGAAAAAAAGAACTCGGTATCTTTTCCAATAAACAGAATTCAGGAATACATTATTTTAAATTGTTTAATTTTACTGACTCCTACAACCTAGACTTATCCCCAAAGCTCCGAACAATGCAAGTGGGGGTTGCTCTGTGATGTTCTGCTCTTACACTGTTTGAATTTTGTGAAACTCCTTGTAAGAATTATCTTAAAAGAAAAATGTCAACCTATGGTCATTGAGCCCAGTCTTTGCAGCTCCCAGAGTCTCCTATGACTGCTAATGTTGAAATGTACAATTCCTGATCATTGTGACACATGGAAACCATGGCATATAACGTGCAATAAGCTTAACATAAATTTAAAAACTGTCTTCAAGGTCCCACCATTCCACCCAAAAACAACTCCCACCTTGTTTGCATAACTATCTAAATCACTAGCCAAAAATGTTAACACAGCCATGAAGTATAATACATAAAGTGCACAGCCATAAAAATGTCCTAAAATAATAGCATATTAATGTAATAATCAAATAGATTTGAAGAAAATACATTAATGTGTTCAGACCTGTACAAACTGTATCATCAACTATAATTTCAGTCTGAGGCCTGTATTTAATGTCACAAGAAGTTAAATTTATTAAAATAGAATTACACAACTCTGAAATACATTTAATTAAAGACTCCCTTTGAGACAAGTTTTATTCCTGATGATTAATGGACATGTTCTCTCTGATATTAACCAGATTTGACCCTGCTAGGTTTTTTTAAATGTTAATCATGATCAGAGTACCATTTGATGAAGAAAGTGATATATAAATTCATTAAATAAATACATTGTTGTAACTGGAAATGATCTGGTGAAAACATCAATTGATGGATTAGATAAACAAACCATTCAGATTTGTCTAGATAAATGACAGTTTTATTTACAGTTTATTCATATTGACTAAAACTTATTACAAACCATGAAGTTTAGTTTGCTGATGACATAGATCATGTGCATGCGTCAACCTTTCTTATTTCAGACAGTTTACCTTGTTCAGACAGTTTACCTTGTTCAGACAGGGAGGAATTCCTGATGAAAACTAACACCAGCTAGTGCTAAATATGAATAATACAAATATAGTAATAATTTATGCTGGAAAGGAAAGAGAAGAGAAAGATCAAGGAGAATCCAGGAATGCATGATTCTGCAGCCTGCTTCAAATCACTCTGTCATAGTTTAAAAATGGATAGTGATCCTTTGATACAGTATTAGACCACTATATTTCTGTGATTAGAAGACTGGATTATATTTCAAAAGATCTGAGTAGACAGTCTTAGTGCACTGCACTACTGCAGTCTCATGAAGTAATAGAGTATAAAAAAGCATAGCCCAAGTGATTATACCAATATAAAAGTACTCAGAATGCCCAAGTGTTAAGTGCAGAAGAATGTCCCAGGGTAATAAGCCCAATTGTTTAATCTGCTTTTTTTCAGTTGTCAGGAATCCATGATGGCATTTGGCTGCTGTCCTTTTAAATTTAACTTACATTTATAATGTGAATGCCACGCAGCTGAGGCTGTAATACAATGACTCTAAAATAATTAAGATTGGATAAATATGCTTAGATTCAAGTCATATCCAGTGTATATATTTCACAACAGGGTTTCAGTAGAAAGCAAAGGAAAGGATATGTTCACCTTTCATTTACTGCTTACTTTTCCTCAGCATGGAGATGTGTGACGAGAGAAACAATATCACCATGTGTCCCTTATGTGACAGAACATGTAGCTATTGGAAATTGAGCTCTGCTTGTGCCACTGCTCGGGCTAGCCATCTTTTTGATAATCCAGCCACTGTCTTCTTCTCAGTCTTCATGGCTCTCTGGGGTAAGAATGCTTATATCATTTTGGAACATGCTTGAAGTTTTCATTTGACTTTGAGTTTAACTTTTCTTACATGGAGAACAAGTAGGACAATGTGTCATCAACAGTTAATTATCTGTGCTGTCCCTTTTTGGTCTTTCTGTTATAAAACTGTCACATTTACATTTATGTTCTGAACTGAAAGTTAAAATTCAGAAAGTTGCTTGGATGAATACAAAGTGAAGCACTTGGCACAAAACTGCTTAGGGATTGTATAGCATGTCAACAATATCTGTTTGCAGACTTGGTCTTGATCTGATCAGAAGACTACAACACTGAATCATAGTTAAACTTACTTAAGGGCATTAACAGTAAGATACTGTTTATATCACTCAAGGTGCCCTTTCAGTTTTGAAGGCATCTCCTTTTTGTGAAGAATTGAGATGCTGTAGCAATAGAAAATCATGCAAAATGATTTGGGGGGAAAAACACAATTTTTAAAAATTAAAAGTTTCTTTACTCATGAATTTGGGAGACTTAAATTCTGGTAAAATATCCAAGTGTTTCAATGGTGGATATTTGCATATTACTGAGATGTAAGGTGTTCTGGGATGTGAACAGGGGTGGGATTCTACCAGTTCGCACCTATTCGCTAGAACCGGTTGTTAACATTCTAAGCAGTTTGGAGAACTGGTTGTTAGAAGAAATTACTGGCCTAATCCTGTAAGGAAGTCAGGAAGGAAACATTCTGGTGTTCCTTACAAAAACTGCCTCTCCGTTAACCCTTATTACATTCTTGGCAGGACTAGACTTCCTGTCTCAGGAACTTCTCTGGAGTATTTTCCCCCCTCCTTTGCTGGTACTTTGCTTGTGTGGAGTGACCATTCAAAGTTACAATGGCACTGAAAAAAGTGACTTTTGACCATTTTTCACACTTACAACTGTTGCAGCATCCCCACAGTCATGAGAGGCCAGGTGAGGAGATGCGTGCCTTGATGTGAGTGAGTAAGCCACGCCCACAGAACCGGTTGTTAAAAAAATTGAATCCCACCCCTGGATGTGAATGTTTGTACATAGTAAAGGTACATTCCAACTCTGTCATTGGCTACAGCCATTATGATAGTTGTTTATTATTTCCAGCATCAAATCATATGGTGCCGCATACCAGTTGTTAGGACATAGGAGCAGAAAGGTTCGGCAGTATTTTCTGATTTTGTGCTTATCGTATTGATTTAAGTACTTTCCATAGCAGTTCTACTAGGCAATCCTACATGAAAACATGGAGCTACCCAGCTGTGAGATTGAATATTGGCCATATCAACATGTCTGGAAGATGCCAAATTGATGGAAGAAGAAATAAAACTATGAGGGACATGTTCAATGTAGTTCCTATGCAGAATACTTTCATAGAAATATTTATGAATTCTGACTTGTAGTATATTTGTCCATGATCTCTAGATTCTAAGTTTAATATTTCATCTAATATCAATTGTAGTTAAATGTAGTCTTTCATCTGGGACAAGATGCTTAAACGAGAACGAACAGATTATTTCCAGGTAGTCTTATGGATCCATTTCTGTTTTATTTTCATCTCAGTTTTGGGCTAAAACTTTTTTTTTACTTTAATTCCCCTCCCCCCCAAATCTTTCTCAATTTTTTTTTTACTAAGGCACAGTGCAGGCTGACTAAAGATAGCAAATGTAATTCTTACGGGCCAGAAGAGCTAGATATGAGTGATACAATTAGGCAAATGTTCAGACACCAAAAGGTAGCCGTCCAACACAAACACTGTAAAACAACTATTTTTTTTCTAATCTTGCTCACCAGTAGCCATATATACACTGAGCCTATTCATTGTATATAACTCTAATAACAACGGAATCCCCAATTATAACTTCAAAAAAGGCAACTATGATCTTATAAACAACAATCTCTCATCCCTTGATTGGCAATTTCTATTCACTGGATGCAATACTGTAGAACATTACAAAATATTTTTACTTGAAGTCAAAAGAGTCATCAAACTATATGTACCATTGACAACTCCCAAAACCAGAAAAAAACAAATTACCCATAACAATAAGGAAGCTTCAATCCAAAAAGAAATCACTTTGGCAGAAAAACAAATCTGGTCACGTTGCCAATTTCAAAAGCCGATACAAAAATTTATGCCACCAAATAAAAACTGAATGCACCAATTATCACATTAAACAAGAAGAAAAACTTCTATGACCAATTCCACCCGAGTTTTCTACAATTTTGTAAACAACAAACTAAAAGACTCAAGGTCCATCCCACCTCTGAAAGGACCTAATGGTAAAGACTGCAACGACAACACTATTAAAGCCAACCTCTTTAACACATTCTTTGGCTCAGTATTTGTAAACAGCAATGGATCATGCCCAGTATTTCCTAGTCGAACCACAGACAACTACAATGATCTAATACATATCGATTTTACAGAAGACAATGTTGAAAAAGCACTACGCAATCTAAAACCATCTCTGTCTATTGGACCGGATAGAATATGTGCCTACTTCTTAAAAAAGCTATCCACTGCCATAGCCGAATCTCTAAGCATAATCTTTGAAAAATCTTTCAGGACCAGCTCCTTGCCAAAACTATGGTCACAAGCCACGGTCATCCCCATCTTCAAAAAGGGAGACCCCAGCCTAGTTGAAAATTACAGACCAATCTCTTTATGCTACATCACCTGTAAAGTCATGGAATCAATTATTAACCAATCCATCATCCTCCACTTAGAAACAAACAACCTACTCTGTAATAAACAATTTGGTTTCAGGAAAAAACTATCATGTAATCTGCAACTCATACACTTCAAAAACATATGGACTACACAACTCAATAAGGGCAAAGCAATAGATGCAATCTACATAGACTTCTGTAAAGCCTTTGATTCAGTGGTACATGACAAGCTACTTCTAAAACTAAAATCTTACAGTATCTCTGGACACCTGCATAACTGGATAGAAGCATTCCTGTCAAACAGACAATAAATGGTCAAAATTATGAGCGTCCTATCAAATCCTGTACCTGTCAAAAGTGGTGTCCCCCAAGGCAGTGTTCTAGGACCAACTCTTTTCATACTCTACATAAATGACCTCTGTGATCATATCAAGAGCAACTGTGTTCTCTTCGCTGATGATGTAAAGCTATTCAACACCACCGACAATACTGTTACCCTTCAAAAAGACCTTGACTGTGTATTAGAATGGTCAAGCAAATGGCAACTTCAAATCTCAACAATAAATGCTCTGTCCTACATATTGGCAAAAACAATCAGAAAATAAAATACAGGCTGAATAGTCAAGCCTTTGTTGATGATCCAAACTCTATCAGGGATCTTGGAGTACTCATCTCTAATGACCTAAGTGCTAGAGCCCACTGTAACTAAATAACCAAAAAGGCATTAAGAGTTGTTAACCTAATCTTACGTAGCCTTTTCTCTGGTAATATTACACTAATAACTAGAGCATACAAAATATTTGCTAGACCAATACTCGAATATAGCTCATCAGTCTGGAATCCACATTACGTATCTGATATTAACACAATTGAGAAAGTCCAGAAATATTTCACAAGAAGAGTTCTCAACTCCTCTACTTATTGCAGAATACCTTATGCCACCCGACTCAAAATTCTAGACCTAGAAAACTTACAACTACGCTGCCTTCGATCCGATCTAAGTATAGTATATAAAATCATACATTGAAATGTCCTACTGGTCAATGAATACTTCAGCTTCAACCATAACAACACAAGAGCAAACAATAGATACAAACTCAAGGTTAATAGCACCAAACTTGATTGCAGGAAATACGACTTCAGCAACAGAGTGGGCAATGTCTGGAATACTCTACCTGACTCTGGTTTCTTCCCCAAACCCCAAAAACTTTAACCTGTCTACTATTGACCTCACCCCTTTCCTAAGAGGTCTGTGCATAAGCGCACCAACATGCCTACCGTCCCTGTCCTATTGTTTCTTTTTTTTATTTTTCTTATATGTATCCACATATTCATAACTATGTTTTTACTTATACCTATTATCTTGTAAGCAATTGACAAAAATAAATAAAAATAAATAAATAAATAAATATTTCTTGTGATCTTCCTCATCAAAAACTAGTACAGGAGAAAAATCTTTCTTCACATACTCTCCTGTTTTTATTGTGTGACTGTTTTCTCTTACCCTCTGACAAATACTATGTTAAAACTGTGGGTGGATGCAACTCATGTTTTTCTATTGCTGGAAAGTATCAGTCACAGGAAATCGTATAAGGTCTGCAGAGGAGATTACTGGAAATTATTGCGCTCCTTTTTCTGAGGAGGAATGCCTATTCAGTATCACCCCTTATTTGTTTCCAAGATAAACTAGAACAGAGAGAGAGGGAGAAAAAGAGAGATTTCTCTTTAGATTCTTCCCCTGATTATTGTATTTCATAAATATTCATCCTTCAGAAGAAGACACTATAAGATAATTGCCTACAGATGTAGGCACTTCAAAATCAGATGTGTCATTCAGGCCCGCTTTGGGCATGAAATTTTGTAAAACTTGTATATAACTCTTAGGAGGGAAATTGGACATGCTTCTGTTTTACCCTATGCACAAACCAACATTAATGCAGCTCTCTACAATTTTCTTTGCCTCAGGAATTGTGGTATAAATTTAGGCCAAAGAAGTAAGCTATAATTTCAGAAGAGGGAATCCACTGCAAAGAATTTCAGCAGAGTGACTCATATGAGCTCCTGCAAAATTCATGACAGGAAAACATGTGTTCATATTTGCACTAAGCTGATTGTCAGGATCAGAATCTAATGCATGGAATCGTTGTATGAAGCACCATTCCCAAATATGGCATATTCAAGCTGAATTTCAAAAAATGAAGCAAGAAATACTTTTCTATAAAGTGCGCTACAATTTCCACACAGGTGATCTTCAAATATTACTTGAACATGTCTTTCCTAAGAAAAGCATCATTGCATGTGAGGCAGCCTTTCTATGA